TCTGACCCCCGGGGGCCCCAGGAGGAGGACGGGGCCGGGGCGCGGAGGCTGCTCTGACCTCCTAGTGGGAGAGGACAGACGGACGGAGGGCGTGTCTATGGTGACCTGCGCACTCAACGCTCAGTGGCGGGCGGGCCCGGGGGCTGCTCTGAGCCCCGCGAGGTGGAAGGCTGGCGGGCAGGGGGGAACCCGTGACGAGCCGTACGCTGGGGGGGCGGGGGGCGAGGGGAGGGGGCAGTTCTGAGTTGGGGCCAGAAGGAGGGGAGGACCGAGCGCAAGGCCGGAGCGCGGGCCAGGGCGCTGCCTCTGCTCTGAGCCCACTACCAGGAGCAGGTGCGGCGGAGGCGCCGTCCCGAGCTCCCCCGATGGGGAGCAACGGCCGAGAGGTGGGGAGAGGGACGGTCTTTCTGAGGCCCACCCCCCAGGAGGGGCCGGGGTCCGTGATGAGATCCCAGAGAGAAGCAGGGCGGGACCTGGGGGACCTGTTCTGAGCCCCGCAGGTGGACGGTGGGCCTAGGGCGAGGCGGCTGGCGGAGGTCCCCGCATGAGACCTCCCCAGGAGGGCACGGGTCTGGGCCCCGTCCTGGTCCTCCAGTCGCGCGTCCGAGCCTTCCGCGTGGGGCGGCGAAGTTAGGGAGAGCTTTTCGAGGGTCTCTAGAAATATTTTGAAGACCTGGGGGAGGTGGGGTGGTTAATAGCTCCAAAATGGGAAAATGCAGACTAAAATCAAATAGTCATGCTGAGGACGCTCAGCCCATCGTACATGAAATGAGTTGCCCGCATATTTCATACGCAAAATTACAACAATCCTGTAACAGCAGATTTACAGTTTACACGGGATGCATTTCAATCTTCGGTGCCGTGTGTGCTGGGGTCCCGGACCGCCAGCGAGGCCCAAGGTCTCCCTGTCCCTGGTGAACCCCGAATATTCCCGGGGGACACCGCAAACTATAGAAATCAAAAACTTCATTCCAGAGCCACTTCCCAGCTGTGTGACTGTAGGACAGTCACCTCCCCTGTCTAAGCCTCCCGTCTTTCCTCTGGAAAATGACAATAAAGGCCAGGTCCTACGGGGCAGGTCCGCCAAGAAGCAGAGCTGGAGGTCGCTCCGCGCGCCAACTTCTTCGCGTTGCCTCTGGCGCCCCCTGGCGGCGGTATGGGGAGGCGCGTCCTGGGGTGGGGCCAAGCATGCAAATGAGATGTAAACCACTCCTCCTGCACACAAGTCTCCGGAAAGGCGTTCTAGGAGGCGGTGAGTCTGCGGCCTGGGATGCTGTAGAGGCCGGAGGACTGGACAAGCGCCTCGTTTCATGCTCACCCCTACCCTCAATCGGCAGGTAAAGAAATTGAGGCTCAGGTGGGTGATGCCACCTGCTTCAGGTTCCAGGAACAGCTTTCTCTTTGTGAACCTCAGTGAGGCCCATCTGTGAAATGGGTGCGTCCGACTCTGCCATAACGGCTCTTTGCTCTTCCCACCGCACCGGGAAGAGCAAAGCCTAGCAGCGAGGGACGGGGTGCCCGCGGGGCGGCGGTCCAGGAGGGCCTGGCGGAGGAGGCGACGTTTCTGCAAAGCTTTGAGAGAAGCTGAGCGACGGGGAAGCACAGCCGATTGCAAGGTCCGCAGGTAGAGACCAAATATCAAAATGAATTGTTTAAAAATTCGTTCTT